AACAACAACAACAAAAACAACAATAAGAGGTTCGGGTAAGCCGTGCCAGTGGCCGAGGGTCCGACCGAGGGTCCGGCCGGAGGCCACCGGGCATCTTGAGGCTAATGCTAGGCGTTGAGGCTCTGCTAAGCCTTGCGACCCTGACCCTGGACTGTGGACGATGTCCGTGTGACAGCGTCAGTGTCAAGTATCCCGCCAGGTACATCTTCAAACACGAAGGCCTTACGTGACTTCCTGGGCCTTGGCCTGGACTGACTCGACAACACCCGACATAGTATCGCGAGTAGAGCTGGATAACTGAAATGTTGAGACTGGTGATATTCGTTTGTTGATAGACAGAGAAGGTGGACGGTATCGCGGTCGAAGCGCTGGTGCAGCTGTAGATCAAAAGCATCACGAAATTGAGCGGATCGTTAGTGAAGTAGAGATTTTTAGGTTCTCGAGAAGAGTGCGGGGGTTTGAAGGACTCAAATTGTTGTCGAGCAAGATGGAAGACATTCAATGATAGAATAAAGTCGAGGGGACGAGGCCTGATGCCCCAACTATGTCATCTTGCAGTTCAAAGACGTTTGCAAAGTCTTGGCATTCAGGCACAACTTCACCTCCCTTGAACGACCTATACTTGGGCACAACGATATACTGGGATTAACGTTACACCCCCCTGTCCCCGAGGAATCGTTATGTGCAGGTTTAACAGTAGGTAGCACTCGATGTACCCCGTCTTTGAGTGCATCAGGCCACATTTCTAGCCTTGGCATTTCCAGCACGTTTGACACCTCTCGAGTACTTTGTGACGAACCGTTACAAGCACAGGAGTATTATCGCTGGGATAGAACAATAGAGTAACGGAGTAGTAGCCAAAAGGTACTGGTAGGTTGTGATAGCTATTGCTTGCTGAAGAACCAGGTATAACGAAGGCCGGGAGGCCTTCTTATATACTGGTCTTCAACCCCGGGTCCTATCTGATTGGTCAATCTATCTAGCTTACTTGAGGCTCAACGATTGGATCGTAACATACTTAACCAGGTAGGTAGCTATTAGCTCTGTTCCCGCCTCTCACCAAGCACACAAACTTTCCGATTCCCAATCCACTTTGCACACCAGACCAAGTGCTCACTAGGTCCTGACTACTGTGCGTCGCCAACCCCAATCTCGCAACTTCAGTCTTCCTACACAACAATGGAAACTTTGCAATCAGGCCAGTCGGAAGGGCCTCCCTACCCCTCGTTCGGAGAGCTCAAATACGAGGGAGTACGTGTCATCTACACTCCCGCCACCCAGCGACTCTATTGGGAGTTCGATGGTGTCTTCCCTACCGCCATTTCCGTTATGAAGGATAAGAAGGGTGCAAAGGACGATCTGGAACCATTCTTCAATCCAGACACTGGCACGTGGCACGAGATCTCGCAGCTGCCCCTCACCGAACCAAAGGTCTCGTCTCTTGAGGTTTCAGTTTTTGACCTCGAAGGACGACGATGGGAATTCGATTGGGCGAAGTGGCATGAGCATCATGGCACAACCTATGAGTCTAATTGTGCGGAGTACCATAAGCGTCATGGTGGTGATGCCCCTGCACCCATCCGCGGTCAACAAGAGTGGGTCACCTACGGAGATCTTGACGACGACGTCCGGCCTTATGCGAAGGAACAAAAGGAGGACGGTAGCTGGGAGGAGGACTCGGACACGGAGTTTCTCATCAAGTGCTGTGGAGAGGACAGACCGCTTCGGAAGGGAGGGCTGAAGTTGGTGGTCACGGCTGGCAGCGAAGATTTTGTCACGGTGCGTGACTTTGTCAGCGGTAAGTAGTCATATCTCTTCCAAGTGTTGGCTTCGGCTTTGCTAACTATGACCTCAGCTGTTCATCCCTGGCTTATGAGCTTGCGCGGTGATATTTTCAAAGCGAAGATTGTCTCACGTGAGAGGCCGTATTATGGTGGTCCGCCGGAGGAAGACACATGGATGGTGGGCTTGCCCGTGGACAGGCATTGTTCGCAGCCACTCGAGATAGAGGAAAAGAGGGAGTGGGTTCGGCGCCATAGCCCCAATCGTCGTTTGCATCCTATGCCTCCCTCACTGGTGGCGCACCTCGCGCAGAGACGTGCAATGAGGGAGGCGGGCATTCCGTTGGGGCCTTGATCCCTCCTGTCTAGAGGTAGTCCATCATCACCTCTATCGAGTGCGTTCAATACTAGACTATGTAATCATTGAGGAACATTCTAAAAGAGCGCAATCCTCCCCTTAGCTATACTATCTACCGAGCACAGTGAACTAATGAGCGGCCGTGGCAGACGCACAATACGAGCTTCCATAAGCAATAACACTCGAAGCAGCAGCCATCCCACAAGCGCCATTCGAGCAATCCCTCAAACCGTATCCAGAGTTGGCATTCTTACAGAGACAAGTTTTCTCGGATCCAAACTGTCGGATCGGGCTAAGTATTACACAACGTGTGGTGTACATGTTGTGAGCTTTGATTGGCTGCGACAGTTTGGTTTGGTCCCTTAGTCCTTCGTGCTTCGCTTCCCGATGGAACTTTCCAAGTTCTTAGGTACGTACATCCTTCTCATCATCAACATGTTCATTGCCATCCCAAAGGTACCTCTACATCATCTCCATTACTCACTCCATCCTTATATCATCCCCAATCTAGGTAACATTCGTCATTCCACTTCCCGTTGGATTATAGCCAAATGAACAACGATGAACGATAAACCATGGCCAAAAACAATAACGGTAAACAAAAAACAGCCTTGTAACCAAGCAAGCGATGTGAAAAGTAGTCCGGACACGCTCACACCAAACCAGACCCGGTGAGTGTCCGGACCTTTTTTCACACCACCTGCCAAGTAGTAATGGATCTAATAGATTTGCATTTGGTACGTTCCTAGTTTTAAGCTCTCTTCTTCTTATCCATTCCTTGGTTCTCATCCGTGGCTACTTCGTAGTACGGTAATTCTGCCATATCATCCTGAACACTTCTCCTTTTGAAGTTCGTATAGGATATTAACAAACGGCGGCTACTCGGAGTTAAAATTTCTTCAGATGGGCAAACGTAGTATTGTCTAATCTACCTCTACCTAAAGAAAGCGGTGGCGAGTAAGCTCGGCCTTCTCCGGCATCATTCCCATAGTCAACAAGCATCCATCTACACTGTAGGATATGTCCTCTTCCCGACCAGGGATTGATATGCGTCCAAGCCCGCAAATTTCACATTTATAGACAATAGAGACGATCTAGGCGTTCCTCCGTCCACAACTTAATGCCGTTTTGCAACCAATCTCTGCGCGCGTTCCGAGTCCTACCTCGCCTATTTGATAGTGTATACACCTTCCCAATGAAAACACAACTCAAGCTGTTTTCCGTCTCCAATACGAGGTGTTTGGGAGTATGATTCCCTGCCACGCATGGATTCGAATCTTAGCTGTATAGGAGGAATAGTACCCTCCTATTGCACAGCGGCTAATTCCACGCGCCGGTTCTAGACTCTACTTCACCATTGTCCGTTTCTAGCTGCTTTGGAGGATCCTTCGTGGATCTGGTGAAGACAGTGAGACTTGACACATAAGATATTGTATGAGTATAAACCATCACTTGGTGCTATTCCTCCAGAAACTCTAGCTCTTTGCATGTTCTCTACCTACCTATTGTTGCTGACTGTACTATACCTACGAGATGGAAGTCTTGCAGCTTCTTGCGCTTTTTGCGCAGCTCTTCTATCTATTCTTTCCTCAAGTGTCAGAGGCTCAATACCTCCAAGACTACATTCCGGTAGCTAACAACCCCGGACAGTACCTCTAGTCAGTCAACCCGTTTCCCTTTGCCCCCCACAATTGTCTATATCGCCAAGGCAAAGCTGCTCAAACGTCCCCTATGTTATCGGTTGGGAACCTTGTTAACATTGCTAATTCTGTACGGTTAAAGCCGGTCTATTTCATCCGTTCCTGCATGGCCTGTTATCGACCTCCACTTGACGGTGTACCTTCATTACAACTGTTTCTACATGAAGGAAATATGCAAGAATGCCGACAACTTTGAGGCGACCCCACGAGGGCAGAACCTACATCCAAACAGCCATCTTCTAAATAATGTGTACGGCTATGATCTGGATACAGGCAACACCAATTCCTATCAGCCGGACACTCACTAGGAGAGGCGTCGCAGCGCATCATGTCCGCCTAGCTGGAAAACCTACACATGTCCGGAAACTAATCAGCAGAAGCCTATGCGACATGATGGCGAGTGGTTCACGACCGCGACAGAGCCAGGGGAAGGATATGCCCTGATGCACGAGCGACAGGGAAATGCGATCCGTTACAGCAATATCTGGTACGGCTGTGATGAGTTCCCACCGGCCACATGGTAAGTAGATTTTCGCCCTTTCCAAAAGTGATTTTGAATGTCTGGTCTTTGTCATGTGCTTTGGCTGCCGAGAGTAGAGACCGATGTTTGATACTGAGATGTTTATTAGGGTTGAGGGTGGAAACGGCGAGGGGGGTTCTAACCCGGCCCAAACTCGGTGTGCCGCGATTCGCTGTCCTAACCCGACTGGCGAGACTGGAGTCAAAGCAGAACAAGATTGTAGGGCCCATCGCGAACCGTTCAATATTCTGTCATACCTTCAAACTAGATGAGTTCCATTTTTCGCTGACCCGTACGACCGATGGGGCAAGCAACCGCTCACGGACGTCTTCGTGCAGTGCTCGAAGATGCAGCCAGTAGCGATCCGCGGTATATCGCCCACAGATCGATCATTCTTTTCACTTTTATGCGCGACACCCTACCCTCAGATGGCATAGCTGCTCGCATCTCTGTTGATGATGGGACTGATGAGGACACGTACGTCTACCAGAACCGGGACAAACGCTCAGTAGGAGAAAACGGTACCTTTGCTGGCAGGCCCGTCACGGCTGCAGAGCTAAGGGCCCGCATCAAGGCGGGCAAAGGGTATGAACATCGGGTGCACATCAAGCTGACTGAGACTCTGCACTATGTAAGTTGGAACGAGCTACAACGTTGTTTATATGATCTAGGAACTGACGCGAATATCTACGTATGTCCAGGTTCCCCAGTCAGACCTGTTGGGTGAAACGATTCCTATGCTTCACAGTAACGCGACGCTTCCTAGGACCCTACCAGAGAATGTCGTTCCTCAGCCACGGAGCATGCCAGAGCATAACATTACACCGCTGCTCAAAAGATCGACAGCCAAAGACCTTGAAGCCGCACAGAATATCGTGAAGAAAGCGCTTGCCGACTCGTCAAGACTGAACAAGGCCCGAGTGGCTCGGCCCCTCCGCAATAAATACAGCTTGAAGCCCGGGAGTATTGTCGGCGGAGGTGGCGTTGCAGGTAAGCAAAACATGGCATCTAGAGGTATTGACCAGGATGTACCGCCGCTTCTGGATATCACAGATGAAATCGCGGCAGCTGCAGCCCTTGTAGCCGAGGCCGACTCGATGGGCGGATGGAAGAATGTCACGAAGCGTGCGGCTACGGCAAGCGCGGGGACGTATTGGATGCAAAGGTAAGTCTTCTTTAAATCGTTCCTTCCCGTTGTTAATGTAAATGGCCTGCTTACACTCATCGCAATGTCACAGTCTTGCTCGCAAAGGCACTGTGCCTTGGGGAGATGAACCCAACTATGTGAGTTATTGTCAGGCCTGCCCGGATGTTCGGCATGTTTCATCCGTTAACCAAAATGTAGGCTATCTTCAGAAATGTACTCGATTATGGAGCGGTGGGAGATGGTATTACGGTGAGTTCGATGCGCTGAAAGAGAAGCCCAACCCATCCCATACTCTCCTCCGCACGACCACATATATACCCAGCTTTATTATATTAACTGGTTTGTCTGTGCTTATACTGACTTACGACTCTCCCTCCTCGGTGCACAGGATGACACAAAAGCTATCAACATGGCCATGGGGACAAACAGCACCCGATGTGGCAAAGGATGCAATGGGTCTACGACTAAGAACGCCATTGTGTATTTCCCCCCGGGGACTTACCTAGTATCCTCGACTATAGCCCTGCCCTTCGGAACACAGGTCATTGGAGATGCTAACAACCGGCCGACCATCGTCGCTGCTCCAAGATTTGTTGGTCTAGGTGTCTTATCCACGGATGAGTATACCGGCGACGGAGGCCAGGGTGTTGATGGCGGGGACCCTGAGTACGTAATAATTCGGACCCCAAACTACCTTATCCATCCGTCTCAACCCTCATAACCACTCCCTACCGGTACCTACATGCACGCATTCCACATTGTCTAGGCAGAGGTATTCGAGGACATGCGAGACTGACTCCCTACCTACTTATCTTCTAGGTACTACGTCAACACCGCCAATTTCTACCGTCAAATTCGAAACATCGTCATAGACATCCGAAAGGTCACTTCAGGAACCACGGTCACCTGTCTCCAATACCAAGTCGCTCAAGCCACAAGCCTTCAAAACGTCGAGTTGATAGCAGCAGCTGGCTCGTCCCAGATAGGTTTGTTCGCAGAGAATGGCTCCGGTGGAGGCATTTCCGACGTCACATTTACCGGGGGTGGAATCGGGCTCAAAGGTGGCGAGCAGCAGTTCACTGCGCAACGCCTCAAGTTCAACGGATGCACAGTGGGAATCCAGGTTATCTGGGACTGGGGATGGGTATGGAAGTCCATCACCATGAACAATGTGAAGACGGGATTTCAGCTCGTCGGTGATGGTGGCGTTGGCAACAGTGAGTGTCCTCCCAGCAGCTCTTTTTCTCCCGCCTCTTGTCCATACAGCATCAAAGGCTCTGCGAGACGCTTCCCACTTCTCTCTACCTACCTACCTACCTTCCATCTGTTGCAGCTCAGAGGTATCATGCTAACCCCTCATTTCCTACAGTCGGCTCCGTCTCAATCATGGACTCTTCCTTTACCAACGTCGGCACTGTCGTCATTGTCAATCCTATAACAGCAACTCCTGGAAATGGCAGCACCGGGATTTCCCTTGATAACATTGTCATGTCAGGCGTCTCGGTTGCTGTAGCCGATACCACTGGCGCCACCCTTCTGGCTTCGTCGCCTGTAATAGACCAGTGGGTCGTTGGACCTGTCTATGAAGGATCGACGACGGCTCGTACTTTCTCTATGGGTGGGAAGATCGGAAACTATCGAAGGCATTCGACACTTCTGGACCCCCAAGGAAACTACTTTGAACGCCCCAGGCCTCAGTACGAAGATCAAGCTACTTCCATGTTTGTGCATACAAAGGATTTCGGGTGTAAAGGAGACGGGTCGACCGACGACACAAAAGCGTTCCAGGCGGCGCTATACGCAAGTTTGGGCAAGATTCTCTTCGTCGACGCCGGATCATACATTCTCACCTCGACCGTCACTATCCCCTCTGGGGCCAAGATTGTGGGCGAAGCATGGTCCCAGTNCTCGACCGTCACTATCCCCTCTGGTGCCAAGATTGTGGGTGAAGCATGGTCCCAACTGGTTGCGTCAGGCTCGTATTTCTCGGATGCCAGGTTCGTTACAGCTCTTTGTCTCTTTATTTGCTGTCCAAACGCTGATTCATATCTACTTTAGCAATCCCAAGGCCATGATCAAAGTTGGAAATGCCGGGGACGTTGGTAATGTGGAGATGCAGGACCTCCTTTTCACGACACGCGGTGCGACAGCCGGTCTGATTGCCATCGAATGGAATATACAAGCTGATACACAAGGCTCCGCCGGGCTTTGGGATTGCCACGTACGCATAGGAGGTGCGGCGGGAACAAAATTGACACCTGCAGAGTGTCCTCCCGTCACGAGCGGTATCAATTCAGGCTGCTCTGCTGCTAGTTTGATGATGCATCTTACCCCATCGGCGTCGGGTTACTTTGAAAATATGTGGCTTTGGGGAGCGGACCACATGCTTGAGTAAGTTGTGCTCTACTGTTCCCCCAACATGAAGAAGAGTAAAGGTACCACCTCTGTGACTGGCTGGACTAACAACTCCCTACCTGCCACCAGTGACCCTGATCTGGTCAGTGGAAACAATAGCATGATGCAGACCTCTATATATGTTGCTCGTGGCTTTTTGATTGAAAGCACGAAACCCACTTGGTAAGCTTTCACATCTTGTCTTCCTCCCATCACAGCTCTGGAGTCCAAGAGACTAACCTCATGACTAAAGGCTTTACGGCACTGCGTCCGAGCACGCCGTGTTCTACCAGTACAACTTCCACAAGGCAGCAAACATATACGCTGGTATGTTGCAAACCGAATCGCCCTACTTCCAACCGACTCCGCCACCACCAGCTCCTTTTGCTGCCGTTGTTGGCCTTTTGCCGGGGGACCCCAATTATACATGTGCTGGTGGAAATGAATTCAGTGGCTGTGACCAATCCTGGTCTGTGGTTATAAGAAGTTCGGCAAACATATTTGTCGCTGGTGCAGGCATCTACACTGTAAGTGATGACCCAGATACAGCCATTGCTCCTTGCATCTACTTCCAAGGTACTAATGACCATCCGATTACCCAGTGGTTCTCAACATATGCGCAGACCTGCATCGATACGCAGTTATGTCAAAGGCGCTGATGCTTTTCGAAACAACCTCGCCAACGTCCGTTTCCAGAATCTTGTCACCATCGGTGCCAAGTACATGGCTTTTTTTTTGTTGTTGTT